ATCCGGGCAATCCAGTGCCAGGCTAAACTGAGCGCCAACTTGGTGAAGGGGAAGGATGGACTGTTCCAAGTTCGCGTTTCGAAACATTACGCAAGCCACAACCACGCCGTCGGCCCTGCCGTGTACTATTCGTATTCAGAAGCCCGACAAGTCAACTCCCCCGCCACGAAAGGCGTTGTGCAAACTCTCGTACAAGGTACAGTGTTGATCTTGCTTACAGACCTGAGCGTGTGTCTAAACGTACTATGCAGGCGGGTCGAAAAAGAAGAAGATATTGCGGTATCTTAAGGAGGTTTCTGGGAAACCTATCTTGCTTAAAGACGTGGAGAACCTTATAGCGAAGATGCGGAGAGAAACCTACACATCGCAGGACGATAACGTGCGCGTCTCGCAGCTACTTAAAGACTTCAGTGAAGGTCCTGGAAACGCTGTCAACGTGTTCAGAGACCAACAAACAGGTCTGACATCATGCATCACCTTTCAAACGGCTTTCATGAGGCGAATGACTCGCAAGTTTCCAGAGGCAGTGTGTATCGACGCTACATACGGTACAAACATCAATCGGTACGCATAATTGGTTTTGCGATCACAAACTCGTGGATTGTTGGTTGACTAATCACCAATTTTTATGTTATGTGCGCATATAGATATCGATTATTTAGCTTTATGGTCACCGACAAGTTTGGATGTGGTGCATTTGCCCAACACGCCCTTATCGATGGATCGACAATAACACAAACAACCGTCTAGAGGCAAGCTGGGGTGCCGCTAAGGGCATTTTAAATCGGCACATGGCAATGGACGAATGCATAGACCACTTACTTTTCTTGCAACAAGCCGCGGAAGATGGGTACTGGACGAAAGTGAACCGCGTTGGTTGCCGTTACAACCTTCACTACGACGAGGAAATGAGCGTGTTGGCGAAGCTTGCTACCCGTCACGCTTGTGATTTGGTAGAGGATAAATACAAGCTTAGTGGACGGCTAACATACGACACCTCCAAAGACAAATTAAGGCCGTCGTTCGTAAGCTTGACCCGTGTAGAGTCAAATGTCACGTATGCTGTCAGTGTGGAGAAAAATCAGTGCAGCTGCAGTTTTTATCGTACATTGCAGCTCCCGTGTCGTCATATCATGTTCTTGCGACTGGAACTCGTTCAACCATCCCTTATAACTCTGTTCCTGCGCGATGGCTAATTGCTGAAGAAGAAGACGAAAATGACGAAGCTGAAGATACTGTGCCAAATTTTACTGTGAAAGATGTCGAAGCTCCGTCTACTCGTGTCTTTATATCACAGCGAAAAGTATCGCGCTTGGATTGCAGTTTGCCAGAAAATAGCAGAAGTTATCTCTGATAAAGGATCGCGGAGCTTCCACAAGTGGATAAACTACCTAACGAAGGTGGAATCGCTTGCCAGGCTCGATGGTGCTGTCCCTGACCTCTCAGAAACCACGATGACCCTGACCGTTGGTGAGCAAGTCACCAACTCTCCTCAAATTGGTGAGCAAGTCACCGACTCTCCTCTTTTTAGTGAAGAAGTCACCAACTCTCCTGATGTTAGTGAAGAAGTCACCAACTCTCCTGATGTTAGTGAAGAAGTCACCAAATCAAGTGTGGTTGTCGCAAATTGTGATGATATTGGCGAATCAATCGCCAATTCAGTGGATGCCGGTACGCCTTGTTCCAAAGTGATAGTCCCGCAAGCTAATGGCAATGGTGAATGTGCATCCAGTTCGCTTGGGATTGGTGATATTGCCACGAACTCAGTCAGCGATACAACGCGTACAACGCGAAGACGGCTTGATATGGCTTCTGAGAATACTGGTGCAGTTAAAACCCCGATCATTCTACTCAAATAGCCAGCAACCCTGCAGGACGACCAAAGGAGAAGAAAGCAACAAAAAAAGTCAAGGCGCGCAAAGAGCTTCAAGAAACCAAGACCCTTTCGAAGCAGTTGACAACTGTTGGCGACATAACACTTACAACGCTTCGTGAATATGTTGACCAAAAAAAGTTGTCTCTCGCGTCAATCGACCCAGTCTTTTCGGCTATTCGCCCGATGTTTGGAGGGGCCATATATAAACGGCCAAAGGCACGCTTGAAAAGACGTGGAGAAGAGCTGCAAGTTGAAACCATCATTCGGTATGTCATCCCGGAAGTTCTGGTGGACAAATCAGTAGCAGCAGCAAAAAATGCAGTGTTTCGAGAACAGACTGCCAGCAAGAAGACACCCACACTAGGCGAAATTGGAGTGCATATTTTGGGCGTGGGGGTCTTTTCACTACAAGACGTGAATACTATGAAGGAATGGCATACTCTCTCGAAGAGAATCAAAAGCACGCGAGACTTGATCAAGTGGGTTCAATCAAAGCCGGAAAATGGTGTGCAACAGAGCATTCTCTCCACGCTGCCTACTTTGAATATGTATTCCGCATTCAAGTCTCGGATCGCAGAAACAATTGTTCAGTTTCAAGATCTAACTAGGTTTGCGGGTGAAAACTGGCTGTGCGACGGGTGTATATTTGTTGCGGCACTACACGCGGTCAAACAAGCACAACCGATTGGTAAAAACATAGGTGGGGTTACTGAAGTATTGGTTGTGGACTCCGTTTTTCTCGGTTGTGAATTGGAGGTCGATCGAAAAAGATTAATTGACACGGACAAGCACATACTTAACAAAGGTGACAATGGACGCATCGTTTTTTTTCCCGTAAACATTTTGGTGGACGTGCCACATTGGTGTGCCGCAATTGTCGACTTCCGAAGCTGCTCGATCTGGATCTATGATCCGAAACAAAAACTTGACTATATCGACGAAGTTGAAAGGATCATGAAGAGTTACGTGGTCCCGCTGATCGATCCTGCGTTCAAGTTTAGGTTCAAATACGCGTCTTCATGGCTGCAGAAAGATGGATACAACTGCGGTGTTCTCATTGTAAAGTGGTTTGAAACCTACCTAAAGGTCGCAATGAACACGAAGCAACAGGAAGACTTGCGTGCACTGACACCTGAGCAAATACCAGAGAAGGATATTGAAGAGTGCAGGTACAAAATGTTCGAGACGATATGGCTCGATATTTTCGATAACTAAAAGGCATACAATACATGTAGCGCATACCGTCGTCATTATGGTATGGTTGCTGCATGTCGAGTGCCACATGCTGCTGCGCCGCCTTGCAGACGACACGGTCGTCGAGGCACTGACGGAAAGCAGGTCCCAGCAACGAATGCAGCAATGCAATTTCGCAGAGTCCGAAACTTGTGTGCCATACATAGGCTTTTAAATATTTTTCACAAATACTCTTCTCATACCGGCTCATACCGGTTTCTCGTTCGTACGATAAATTCGGAAAACAAGCTTTTTTCTACCCAATAGTTGGTGAACGTAGGGAGAGCCATTAATAATTTGCTAACATCACAGAATCTGAAGAGCCGGTAGATCGGCGTATGCTCTTTGACAAAACGTTTATCCTAATTATGTAATCCGGGTAAAGGCCTGAAAACGGCTCATACCCAGTGAACGGGCGGCTTCAGGATGCCCTTTGACAAAGAAAGGAATGTCGGTATTACGCCGCGCCGCGCTCAGGACAATCGACAGCATTGTCTTCCTCTCTGAGGACCTCAGCGCTTCGGCTGTATCGCGATCCAAAGCTGCAGAGTCCGAACCTCGGCGCTTCACGATCGTAAAGGAGTGTTGTCAAAGCAAGTACACTGTAGAAATGTTGCTGAAAGCGGCGCGTACGTTGCCTGCGGCCGGCAGACGCGATAACTTACTGTCGGTTAGTTACCGTACCCTTGGAAAACTGATGACCGAGGAGACCACTCTTGCTATGACACATTATCGGAGACGGTCTCGCCGGTGGCTCGCCGTCGTCGTACTAGGCTGTCTCGCCGGTCGCTCGCCGTCGTCGTACTACGCTGGTCTCGCGGGTGTGGCCCTGGCTCAACTCTCTGAGGAGTTGCAAGACACCAAGGAGTCGCTCGAGAGGGCGTCTGCCGGACGAGATTACGCGCTCGAAGAATTCGTGCGTATGACTCGATTGCGGGACGAGATCCAAACGAAACTGGCAGACAGCGAGCTCCAGCGGGACAAGGCGACTACCGAGTGGGCGGATGCCGAGCGTGCGCTAACGGAGCTGGAATCCAAGGCTTCGCCGCATGAGTACGTGGATCCTCTTTTAGT